CTGTGATGAGTTTGCTAATGAGGGTGCAGCCCTGCAGCAGCCTGAGCCTCCCTGAAAAGGCCAGGGCACAGTGGGGCAGCAGTGGGGTTGTGCTGACTTGGAGTGTCCTGTGGTTGTGACATCCTGGCCAGGAACCCTCCTGAGGCCGAAAGGGGAGTCCATTTATTTTACTTTTCTGGAGTCCCATCTGTGCAGCTGGGGCTGAGATCAGCAGAAAAAGAGTAAGTTGTGTCTTACAGCTGGTTGGGGTTTCTTTTGCCCTTGTGGTATCTGTGTGAAGGTGGGAATGGACCTGCCCAGGCAGCCACCTGCAGAGCCAGGGAGACCAGCAGCACACGTGGTGGGCAAGGCTGGCTGTGCCTCTCTCTGGCTCCTGCCTTGGAGGGTTTGCTCCATCCTGGACTGCTCAGAAAATGTGCCAAACTTCCCAGCTGTGGGAAGGGCAGGGCAGGCCAGTGCCTGGGGCAGTGTGGTGCTGTGCCTCCAGCCCTTTGCAGGGGCAGGCAGGGGCCAGTTGGGGCTGGAGGCTCGTGGGGGCCACCCTGCCTGCCCTACCCCTGCCTGCCCCTGGCCCCTGCCTGCACCCAGCCCCTGCCTGCCCTACCTCTGCCCTCCAGCAGCCCAGGGTGTCTGTGAGCACGAGGCAGGGAGATCCTGGGAACTCACTGGAGCTCTCCAGGAGAAGGCCCCCGGGTGTGGAAGCTGCAGTGATCTGAGGGTGTTTCACCCCTGCTCTGCCTCGGGAAGGACGTCCATAACCCCTGCTTTGTTTGAAATACTCTGTCCTGTCCTCGTGCAAAGAGGCTGCCAAAAAGGAAGCTCTGACGGACACTGAGAAGCTCCAGGGCCGGTCACGTTTGTGCCACGAGGATCCTGGAGGTGTTGAGAGCAGGCAGGACACTCTGGGAAGGTGGCTTGTCCCCTGCTGGGACAGACTGAGGGTGTGACGAGGATGGGACCCCAGGCTGGGCTGGGCACTGGTCCCTGGGGAGGACCAGGGTGGCATCAAGGACCTTGTAGGACCAGAGCAAAGAGTGAAAATCATGTGTTAAAACATCTCAATTGTATTCCCTATATTTTAGTTATTATTGATTGGCTTTTAACCTTGATACAAACTGCAAACATCTCTGCCCAGGTGTAGGCCACAAGGGAGAACAGCAGCCATGCTGAATAATAACACAGTTGACATGAGCAAGAGTCAGATTTGGTGCTTGAAGGGGTGGCTGCTCCTGCTCCTGCTCCTGTCCTGCCAGGGTCAGGGCAGTCACAGCTGTTGCTCCTGAATGTTGTTTCTTTAGATGCTCTCAAAGGGGATGCTGTAAGTGTTGTTTGCCCCCTCCCCAAAAAAAAAAAGGAAAAAAAGAAAAAGAAAAACCAAGTGACACATGGGGCTGGAGGCTGGGGGCCCATCAGAGTTCAGCTGCCCCTCTGCTGAGGGACAGGGTGGAGCTACAGCAAGGGAAGGACCTGTCACATCCTTCCCCCCATCAAGGAATGGGGGGACCCAGGGGAGGGGACACCTTGCAGGGACCAGCTGTCCCACGTGATTCCTTGTTCAAACTCGTCACCTTCCCCTGCTTGGTGGGGAATTTTTTTATTATAATATAATTATTATTATAATAATTTTTTTATTATTATTTTTTAACATCTCCTGATGCCCCACTGACTCACCAGCTGTGACTGAAATCTCAGAGCAGAGGTTTTCTGCCCTCCCCCACTCCCTTTATTTTTTCTGTCCCCCTCTCATTTTTTTTGGTGTGTGCCCCCCTCATTTTTTTTTTTTGGTGTATGTGCATCCCCCTCTTTTTTTTTGTGACCCCTTCCCTTTTTTGTGTCCCCCTTTTTTTTGGCGTCCTCCCTTTAAGTCCTCCCCCCTTTTTTTTTCTCCATTTTCGTCGCCTCCGTTTCTTTTGCCCCTCTTCTTTTTTTTGGACCCCTTTTTTCTTTGAGCCCCCTTTTTTCTTTGAGCCCCCTTTTTTC